CTTGGTGGGGAATCGGCCAGGTTTGATAATAAAAAAAAATAAAGTAAAGGTTGGATGCGTGGAAGTGGGTCTTAATAAGCGTGTATGCACCTGGCGAAGAGAGGATTGCAGGGAGAGAGAGAGATTTTGGGAGATGTTACGTGAATGTATAGGCGCCTTTGAACCAAGTGAGAGAGAATTGTGGTTGGGGGACCTGGAATGCTAAAGTAGGAGAAACTTTGAGAGAGGGTGTGGGGTAGTTAAAGTTTGGGGTTGCAGTGTAATGATTATGGGAGCCCCTTTGATTGACAACTTTGTGTTGAAAGGGTTTAGTTATAGGTAATACATATTTTAAGAAAAAGAGGATAAATAAGTATACAAGATCTGATGTAGGGCGAAATGACAGTAGTTTGTTGGATTATGTATTGGTAGATAAAAGGGACGGTGTGAGGAGACTTCAGGATGTAATGTTTATAGAGGGGCCCTCAGGATATATCAGATCACTTTCTAGTTTTTTTGTAGCTACACTGAGAGTAGAAAAGGTAGATGGGATACAAGGAGAATAGAAGCATCAGAGAAGAGCGAGGTGACGGTTTATAAACTTAAAAAGCGGAGGCAGTTAGGGTAAGATATAAACAGCTATTGGAGGGATAGATGGGTAAGAGAGCATAGGCAATGGGTTCGAGAGGTATGTGTGGGTTTATAAATGTAGTGTTAGAGTGTTCAGCAGAAGTTTGTGGTTACAGGAAAAAGTGGGTGACGGGAGGGAAGAGGAGCGATTGGTGGAATGGTGAGAAAGGAGAGTCGTAAGGGAGAAAAAGTTAGCATATTGAGAAGTTTTACAAAGTAGAAGTGATGCAGGAGGGGAGAGTATATGGAGAAAAAGAAGAGGTTAAGAGAGTGGTGAAGGCAATGTAAAAAGAGAGCAAATGAGAGAGTGGGTGAGATGTTATCAACAAAATTTTGATGGAAAATAAGAAAAAGTTTTGGAGTGAGATAACAAGTTAAGAAAGCCTAGAGGAACAAATGGATTTGTCAGTTAAAAATAGGAGAAGGAGAGTTATTAATGGAGAGTTAGAAGTATTGGAAGGATGAGGGAAATTTTGAGAATTGTTAAACTGTTGATGAAGAAGGAAGCTGTGATTTCGTGTTGGACAAGGAGGAATAAAATTTGTAGAGTGAGGAAGAGCCAGTTGTGAGTGTGGGGGAAGTTTTCATGAGGCAGTAGGTAAATTGAAAGGGGGTAAGGCAGCCGGGATTTGATGGGATAAAGATAGAAATGTAAAACCAGGTGGGGATTAGTTTTGAAGTGGTTGGTGCAATTATTTATAAATGTATGGGTAAGAGGGTCAGGTGCCTAGGGATTGGCAGAGAAGGCATGCATAGTTCTTTGTATAAAGGCAAAGGGATAAAGAGAGTGCAAAAATTATAGGGGATAAGTCTGCCTGAGTTATACCTGGTAAAGTGGTATGGTAGAGTTATTATTGAAAGAATTAAGAGAAGACGGAGAATAGGGATAGAGATGAACAAGGAGGCTTTAGGCGAGGTAGGGTGTGTGTGGACCAGGTGTTTTACAGTGATAATATAAGTGAACAGTACTTAGATAGGCTAAAGAGGTCTTTGTGGCATTTTGGATTTGGAAAAGGGTATGACAGGGTGGTCAGGGTGCGCAAATGTTGCAGTGTGCACGTGTATGGTGTAGGAGGAAAGGTTTACGAAAGCAGTGAAGAGTTTTTACGAGGATAGTGGGCTCGAGTTAGAGTATGTAGGAGAGAGGGAAAATATTTCCCAGTAAAAGTAGGCCTTTAGACAGGGATGTGTGAAGTCGCCGTGGTTGTTTAATACAGTGGACCCCGCATAACGAAGGCATCACATAGCGATTATTTCGCATACGCGTTACTTTAATTGCAAAATTTTGCATCACATACGCTTAAAAACCCGTTACCGATTTTCGTCGAGACACGTCCAATGTGCGGCCTGAGCCACGCTCACATGTTCCGCGGTGGCATTGTTTACAGCCAGCCTACGCGGTAACATCCAAGCATACAATCGGAATATTTAGCCTATTTACAGTGTTTTCGGTGCTTTTTCTGGAGGAAAAATATAAAGTGACCATGGGCCCCAAGAAAGCTTCTAGTGCCACCCTACCGCAATAAGGGTGAGAATTACAATAGAGATGAAGAAAAAGATCATTGATAGTATGAAAGTGGAGTGATGTCTCCGAGTGGCAGGTTGTATATAAACCCCCCTTAACATCGCTATATTGGTGGTACAGCTGCTGCTGCTGCTGATGCACTGTCAGCTGCTGGATGCAGCTGCACTGTCAGCGCTGCTGTCTGTGTAGCACCGTTGTTGGTGTGGTTTTATTGCGAATACCAAGAAACAATTAACCCCAGGGATTTGCCACCCAGGTTAACCCCAAAAAGTCAGTGTCATCGGAAAGGACTGTCTCACTTATTTTCCAATTAGGGGTCCTTATCTTGTCTCCCAGATGCAAACCACACAAGTCGACTAACACCCAGGTGAACCTGGAAAAAATGCCTGGAACTAGTGCTCATATTGGTGAATTTACGCAGCAAAGGTTGGTGTGAGAGATTATTTACCCTGGCATCCCAAATTTACCTACTACTCCCTCTATAACATTTTTACCCACTTTAGCATTGAAATCCCCAACCACCATTACTCTCACACTTGATTCAAAACTCCCCACGCATTCACTCAACATTTCCCAGAATCTCTCTCTCTCCTCTACACTTCTCTCTTCTCCAGGTGCATACACGCTTACTATAACCCACTTTTCACATCCAATCTTTATTTTACTCCACATAATCCTTGAATTTATACATTTGTAGTTCCTCTTTTCCTGCCATAGCTTATCCTTCAACATTATTGCTACTCCTTCTTTAGCTCTAACTCTATTTGAAACCCCTGACCTAATCCCATTTATTCCTCTCCATTGAAACTTTCCCACCCCCTTCAGCTTTGTTTCACTTATTATTACAAATTATTATAATCATAATAGAAAAGAAGCACTAAACCCACAAGGGTCATGAATAGCTATAGATAGAAGGCATATGAAAGGAATATTTTTCTACAGTTAAGTAACTGGTGTTTGACTAGAGAAAACGTAATTCTTCTCACAATCTTCCCAACCAGTCTGTAAACAAATCTCATATTCATGTCAATTTTTATACTGTGGGTGTATCATGTTTATATGTTATGCAGCCTGTTTATCATATAATTTTGAAAAATATCATAGATGGATTAATGGAAATGTTTATAGTAATGTAATATACGGCATTTTAGCGCCCAAGAGATTATTATATGGTGTTGAGTAGAGAGACTCTTATTGATTTTAATGTGTACCTGCATGCCAGCACAGTGAATAAGTATATTTAGGTACAGGTACGGGAGAGGGGTGGGATTAAATTATGGGGAATTAAATACAAAATGGGAAGTGACACAGTTACTTTTTTGCTGATGATACTGTGCTTATGGGAGATTCTAAAGAAAAATTGCAAAGGTTAGTGGACGAATTTGGGAGTGTATGTAACGGTAGAAAGTTGAAAGTGAACATAGAAAAGAGTAAGGTGATGAGGGTATCAAATGATTTAGATAAAGAAAAATTGGATATCATATTGGTGAGGAGGAGTTTGGAAGAAGGGAATGTTTTCAGATACTATTTGGGAGTTGACGTGTCAGCGGATGGATTTATGAAGGATGAGGTTAATCATAGAATTGATGAAGGAAAAAAGGTGAGTAGTGCACTGAGGTATATGTGGAGGCAAAAAATGTTATCTATGGAGGCAAAGAAGGGAATGTATGAAAGTATAGTAGTACCAACACTCTTACATGGGTGTGAAGCTTGGGTTGTAAATGCTGCAGCGAGGAGGCGGTTGGAGGCAGTGGAGATGTCCTGCCTAAGGGCAATGTGTGGTGTAAATATTATGCAGAAAATTCGGAGTGTGGAAATTAGGAGGTGTGGAGTTAATAAAAGTATTAGTCAAAGGGCTGAAGAGGGTTTGAGGTGGTTTGGTCATTTAGAGAGAATGGATCAAAGAAGAATGACATGGAGAGCATATAAATCTGTAGGGGAAGAAAGGCAGGGTAGGGGGTCGTCCCTGAAAAGGTTGGAGGAAGGGGGTAAAGGAGGTGTTGTGGGCGAGGGGTTTGGACTTCCAGCAAGCGTGCGTGACCGTGTTAGATAGGAGTGAATAGAGACGAATGGTATTTGGGACCTGACGAGCTGTTAAGAGTGTGAGCAGGGTAATATTTAGTGAAGGGATTCAGGGAAACCAGTTATTTTATACAACCAGACTTGAGTACTGGAAATGGGAAGTACAATGCCTGCACTCTAAAGGAGGGGTTTGGGATATTGGCAGTTTGGAGGAATATATTGTGTATTTTTATACGTATATACTTCTAAACTGTTGTATTCGGGGCACCTCTGCAAAAACAGTGATTATGTGTGAATGAGGTGAAAGTGTTGAATGATGATGAAAGTATTTTCTTTTTGAGGATTTTCTTTCTTTTTGGGTCACCCTGCCTCGGTGGGAGATGGCCAACTTGTTGAAAAAAGAAAAAAAAAGGTACACGTAAGTATAATTATTAGAGTATATATAAAGTATGCAATAACTTTAAAACACTTGAAATTCTGGAAAAATTCTGAAAAAAAATAGATGTGCTCATGAAGAATGTAAACAAACCGGGTGGGGCTTGCCATATTTGAAAGACTGCTTGCCGTATAGCAAATTTTGGTCATAATTTGAAATCGCCGTATTTGTGGAACGCCATAAAGCGGGGCCCTACTGTACAAGATTATTCAGTTGTTTCCTCTAACAGATATGTAAATTATGAAAGATTTGTATTATATGTTATGAAGTACAAGGTTAAGACTGTCAAATCCTAAAATGTTCTCTCATTGTTTTTCCTTCATTCATCTACATCTAATTTATTAACGTGAGATGTAAAACCTAAAAAATCAGTCCACCATATCACAGAAGAGGAAAAATGAAACTCACCTCTTGACACATACAGAAATATTAGCAAGGAAATCCTCTACATCAGAAGCAGCTAGTGTGTCACGTCCCATGTTGTAATGTGCTCGTGTAGCTACCAAAAGCCCTAACATGGGCTCAAGCAAGGCAGCCTTACGAGAGTACTGCAGTAAATTGAGTTTGGAGTAGTAATGAAGGGCCATCTGCAAAAAAAAAAAAAATAGTATAATACTCATATAATGTACATACTACAGCTGGAGAAACTTATGTCAGAAATTGTCATCTCTGAAATATGACAATTTCCTTCACTAAGACATATAGATGTTTTTGAAAATATTTAAAGAAAAAAAAAAAAAAACTTGGCAATATGATTCTATTTACTTCAATAAAATAATGTAAGGTGTGTTATCTAAGCAATATATTGTAAAGGTGTTTTGCTCACATTTGTGACAGACTTTAATTGAAACTAACTGAAACTGATATACACAGCCTACACTGAACAAGTCTCCGATATAAAATATTTTTTTTTACTCTTTTATAAGGCAAAACTCTAAAATTCACCTCTAAAGAGAACAAAAAAAAAATATATAGAAAAGAACTGAAGACATAAAATTCTGTGAAAGTCTCACCATTTTTACAATTCTTGTGCCTGATACAAGTAGTTGATAACCCTACTTCAAAATAGGTTATAACAGCAAGCGGTCAGTAAATCTCACTTCATAAAAATGGCTTTTTTTTAAGAACAAATTTTTTTTTTTTTTTTTTTTTTTTTTTTTTTCAACAAGTCGGCCGTCTCCCACCGAGGCAGGGTGACCCAAAAAAGAAAGAAAACAATTTTCTTCTTATTCTTTTAGTAATCTTTACAGGAAAAGGGGTTACTAGCCCATTGTTCCCGGCATTTTAGTTGACTTTTACAACACGCATGGCTTACGGAGGAAAGATTCTTATTCCACTTCCCCATGGATATAAAAGGAAAAGTAATAAGACCAAGAACTATTAAGATAAAATCAAAGAAAACTCAGATGAGTGTGTATAAATAAATGTGTACATGTATGTGTAGTGTGACCTAAGTGTAAGTAGAAGTAGCAAGACATGCCTGTAATCTTGCTTATTTATGAGACAGACAAAAGACATCAGCAATCCTACCATCATGTAAAACAATCACAGGCTTTCGTTTTACACTCACTTGGCAGGACGGTAGTACCTCCCTGGGTGGTTGCTGTCTACCAACCTACTACCTACTTAAGAACAAATATACATGTAAAAAAATCTTGATACATACTGAATTGTATTTTGTTATTCTGTGCCTGAAAAAAAAAAAAAATTATCACAAAAATAACTAACCATTTTTCAAAACTAAATGCATGTAGGAAATCCATTACCTGATGGAATTTTTTTTTGGACACATACACTTCCTCGTTGGATTCTCTGTACTCCTGTTCAGGATCTCGTCGACGGCATCGACTATACCGTGTGACTGCCCTCTCTAAGTCCAAGCCTGCATTCTGTAAAAAAAATATTAATTTCACATGAGTAATAAAATTCAGAGAGAAAGTAACTACTGGGTATTTTATAATAAACAAATAAAAAGTTGCCTAAACCTTATTTGAGGCTGTCCCTGGTATAACTGCTACTTGCAGTATATATGTTACTTTCAGAATCACCACAAGTATTACACTGCAAAAATTATGAAAATATAGATTACATAATAAAGTATGTGGTGCAATTATTTTTGAGAGTTATGGGTAAGACTAAGTTGAAATGCAGAGAAACAAGAAGGATTCAGGAAGAGCTGGGGATGTGCAAACCAATATTTACAGTGAAACATATAAGAAAACAATACCTAGATAAAGGTATGGCACTGCTGGTCACACTGGACTAAGAAAAAGCATATGACAGGGTGGACAGTTAAGCACAATGGCAGATATGGCATATAAGGAGTAGGTTACTATATGCAGTAATGAGATTTAACAAAGAGTAAAGCACAGTCAGAATACAAAGAGTCGGGGAACTATTTTCCAATATAAGTAGGCCTTAGACAATAGTGTGTGTTGTCACCATAGTTTTTAACATATTTATAGAAGTGGTTATAAAAGAAGTGAATGCAAGAGTGTTGAAAAGGGTGAAACATTAAAACATAATAATTTGAAACAAAGTAGGAGTTATCACAATTTCTCTTTGCTGATGATATAATTCTTTTGGGATATTCTGAAGAGATATTACAAAAGTTGGAAGAGGAATTTAGTAGGGTGCATGTGTGAGTGTTTGATAAGAGTGGATGCAAATGGTTTTTGGGACTTGGCGAGATGTTAAAATACGAGCAAGGTATAACTTGTGAAGGGATTCCGAAAAACTGGTTATCCAGACTCGAGTCCTGGAGGTGGGAAGTACAGTGCTTATACTCTGCAGGAGGGGTTGAGATATTGCAGTTTGGAGGAGTGATTTGAAGTGCGATGTTTCTGCACACTTTCTGTATGATGATGAATGAGTATTCTGTTTTTTGTTTTTTTTTTTTGGGGGGGGGCTCACCCTTACTCAGTGGGAGATGGTCAGTGCTTAAAAAAGAATAGAATATTATTTAAATATGCAGTGCCATTCTGGTATATGAAGCAAGGTGATAGATAGATAAAGTAGCATTCTCAAGTTGATGTGTGTAACCTGGATGTATTTGGTAGTGTGAACTCTTGTGAACATCCCTTATCTTTAATTAATTAAATTTTTAACTTCAAAACGTAAAAAAATTAAGACTGAAGCATGATCATTTGTCAAAACTGCATTAACAGAAAAGAAAGAAAGACTCTCTGACCGGGGATTCAATCCCACCCGTGGTATGGTTAAGAAAGAATTACAAGGCACAACTTCAGATCAAATTATTTGCTAACATATTATAGTACCTTATGAAAAATATAATGTAACAATGAAGGCATTTACAATGTGAACCACTACTGGAGTAAAGTACCTTAAATGTCGAGCAAGTGATGCTTTCCTGTGCACTTGCAAAACATACAGTGGCACTATATTTATAACACTTGCCTGATAAAGTGTTGCCATGGTGTCCATCTCATGTAATTCTGTATCAATGAATCTTGAGAGTGGATACACTGACCCATCAGCAATCTGTGTTGCTACTATATGCTCCCATGAGCTCATCTGCAAACATCAGAGCTACTTATAGAAAATTAAAATACACAATAACACAAAAGTTTATCTTAGGACCCTTAATCACTGTTAATAGAAAATATACAAGAAAAATGGGAAAATTAAAATATGAGGTTTTCATGAGGGTACTGATTAACAAATAAGTGATTTCAAAAATCAATATGTAAAACATGCAATATAAACTAGTCTTAATTGTAATAAAATACTTCTATGAAGGAAATCACAGATTTGTTTAAAAACTGAATATGTAATTCATATTATGCTAGAGTTGAAATATATAAGGATTTACCATCTTGGCTACCCAAAACAGTTTGTACTAATGCCTACACATAAACATGAATCCAAAGATTTACTTCTTAAGTCTCAATTAAGTTGATTCACAAAGATAAAGCATCAGTAAACATCCAGAAAACATTGGTCAGTAGTGCCAATTAAGCAAACAATTATGTAAATAATAATAAATAAATACAATAAATAATATCATACAAAATATATAATTCACACACTTTTCATTATACATGTAGTACAGTAAACCCTTGATATAATAGAATAATAGGGGGTTATCCAAGTGTCCATTAAATCAGTGTTATGTTAAAAATGGCATATTGTTATACAAAATTTAGTTACAGTGCAATAAACAATGACATTAAAGGAATTAAAATTTCATTTTACACAACAGATTTTGCCCATTATTTTAAAGTCCATTATATCGAGGTCCATCATATCGAGGGTTTAATGTACATACTGTACACTCTTAAGTTGACATATAGTACTCACTTATTTCTGGTTTGGGGGGGGGGGGTTCAAATTTCAGCTACTGGCCTTGCCTTTTACTCTATACACAGTTTTATTTAAATCAGGAAAACTTATGTCAAGATGGAGAGAATTACTGTCTTAAGAAAATGCTCCTTGGAGTTTGTATTCATGTCAGCTCATAAGTTTCACTGTTGTCTACCCTCTAAAATTATTCTCTTTTCTTGGTAACATTCTGGTTCAAGCTGTCCTGAAGATGAGTGACTGCTCCAATCCTTCTATTGCCCTCACTTCCATTTCAAAAGTACAGCCTCTCCTCACTTAGCGATGTGCTTGTTTACTGACGCCTTGGACTTACGACGAGCTCTCTGACCAGTATTCATACCTAAATAATGTATATTAGAGCTGATTTCTTCTATTCCATTTATTTCAATATACAGTACACTACTGTATAAACATTTAAAAATATACCAGAAATGTTATAAATGGTGCAAAAGTGACATTAAAACAATATCAAAGATGGTTGACACAAACTCACTACCATTATGGTATGCTCCTCACTTAGCGACGAATTCATTTAATGGCATGGTCTTAGGAACAGAAATCTGTCGTTAAGTGAGGAGAGGCTGCAATTAGATCCATTTTTATTAAATGTTTTTAAGCACCTACCTTAGTTAAAAAGATAATAATTTTCCCTCAATTATAGTTCATATCTCTGTCTGATTTGATAGCTTTATAATCATCTTACCTCTGAAATATGTGAAGCGAACTTCTCAAGTGTTGAGGACACCACACCTTCATTGTCATTGTCTACTGCAAATTTCTGAAAATGAATAAAAACTAAAATAGTTAATAATATTAGCACTGTACCATTATCCTCAGTATTTATCTGATATATCAAAACATGAATCATAACATTTTTTAATAAAAACTCTTAATGAACAAAGAAAAACTTGTAATTTTAGAAGTGTGATGGAACATAAGAAATTCATGAGCTACCCAGTAAGCTAATGGCTCTGAATTTGTGTAAAAACAATTACAAATTAGCATGCTTACCTATAAATTATATCAAATAATTAATCAAAGCTAAAACTATAACAGAAAGCCATTCAAGAACTTGGTGTTTTAATGTATTCCATAATAAAACTATTTGTAGAATTACACATCTTAAGAATTAAGCACACACAGACAGTGTACTTAGTACCATACAAATTGAACAAGGAAAAGGATAAATGTACAGAGCACTGTGCTTGAACAAAAACCAAAACTTACAACCGACTTGTATGCTTTCAAATGTTTGGCCAAATCTTGATATGCTGATGTAAGCTGATTATGGGCAGCCACCAGCTTGGATGAGAGTTGGTGTAAGATTGTGACATAATCTCGTAGAGCTCGAGCATCTTCACTCGCCACCCCTACCAGGGAGCGCACCTAGTTTTCAAAAACAAAATACTGCATTGTACTTTAAGTTATAATCCATGCCTAAAAAAAATTCATATGGGAACTGCTCCAACAGTGTTTCAATTGTCACACTACCACTACAGTAATGTGCTGCCTATCTAATTTACCCAATCTACATACAAAATAGTAGAATAGAATACTCATGCCCTAAGCATTCTTTACATAGAGTGCTAGCTACTTTATTTTTTCCTATACATATATGTAGTTTCTATACTGCACATATAGTGTCCAGCATTATTATATATCTTAAAATCAACAGCATGCATCCTTTCTCAATATTAAAAAAATTTCTATGTACCCTCTTGATTACCTGTACAGTACCTTGACATGGGCAAGAGTTTGCAAGAAAATGCAACGATGTTATTTCTTCATGTAAAAATAAAGAGAATAAAGATCTGATAAAAAAATAAACATTAGATAACTTAGGATGTTAATGCACACATGACTATGGGGGATATACAGACAAAAGGCACAAGGGGTTATATTGATACTAACAAAGGTCTCTTGATCCAAGGGACTGGAGCTATATCCCATCCCCCCTTTCTTGGATCAAACCTGATTACATCCCATTTCCCAGGCACTGTATGAACCCAGTAGATTTAGCACTTCCCAATGAATATAATAATGTATATGTAAAATAACTGCTGCATATACAATATATATGGAATAAATGCTTACTGAATTCTAAATAAAAATAACTTACATGTGTTGTCATATCATCACAAGGGAAAATTGGACAAGTATCTTCACCAGGTGCCAGATCACTCAAGCTGTGATGGATATGCGGAGCAGCAGGCCTCCAGCACCAACAGCTTGGTTGACCAGGCAAGCACCAGATGAGCCTGGCCCATGGCCGGGCTCCGAGAGTAGTGAGACTCGAAATTCTTCAAAGGTATATCAAAGGTATTACATATAACTTAAATAACTAACTAGTCATTTGTTATATTCATTGGAAGAGCTCAACATGTAGGGATAAGAATTATTTTATTTACATTTTATGCATTGGTTGACATTTTGGTAAAAGTAGATGACTAGTACTACTCGACAGATTTCAGCCATTAATTAAAATTGAATTTTATAGCCGAGATATTTTTTTGTTCAGATGCAAAAAAAAAAAACATAAAGTAATCTTATACAACCCACCTAACCCAACTAAAATAACTTAACCTTACTCCAGTCTGGAGTTTTGAGACTCTCTAACCACGGGTTCAAACCCCACCCGTGGCATGGTTTGTTAGACTTGCATCTTTGTATATATTCAGCCAGGCATACCAAGAGCATACCTGGAGAGAGTTCCGCAGGTCAACACCCCCGCTGCCCGGTCTGTGACCAGGGCTCACGGTGGATCAGGGCCTGATCAACCGGGCTGTTACTGCTGGCCACACATAATCCAATGTATAAACCACAGCCCGCCTGGTCAGGTACTGACTTTAGGTGCCTATCCAGTGCCTGCCTGAAGACAGCCAGGGGTCTATTGGTAATCTCCCTGATGTATGCTGGGAGGCAGTTGAACAATCTTGGGCCCCTGACACTTACTGTGTTGTCTCTTATTGTGCTAGTGGGAACCCTGCTTTTCATTGGGGAGACAAGTAACTCTCTCTCCTGCATTTTAGGGAGTACAGGTTAAGGAACTTTAAGTGTTCCCAGTAACTGAGGTGGTTTATCGCAGTTATGAGTGCGATGAAGGTTCTCTGTACATGTGACATGATTCAATATTAGACCTTGATTGGCTCAGACATGCTGTGTGACCAAAATAAATGCACTGTTTTCGGTAATATTCCCTAAAACAACAATTTGCAGAAGAAATACTAACTCCTTGATGTATATAGATTGAATGTTTACCTGGAGTTTACCTGGAGAGAGAGTTCTGGGGGTCAATGCCCCCGCGGCCCGGTCTGTGACCAGGCCTCCTGGTGGATCAGAGCCTGATCAACCAGGCTGTTACTGCTGGCTGCACGCAAACCAACGTACGAGCCACAGCCCGGCTGATCAGGAACCGACTTTAGGTGCTTGTCCAGTGCCAGCTTGAAGACTGCCAGGGGTCTGTTGGTAATCCCCCTTATGTATGCTGGGAGGCAGTTGAACAGTCTTGGGCCCCTGACACTTATTGCATGGTCTCTTAATGTGCTAGTGACACCCCTGCTTTTCATTGGGGGGATGTTGCATCGTCTGCCAAGTCTTTTGCTTTCGTAGTGAGTGATTTTTGTGTGCAAGTTCGGTACTAGTCCCTCTAGGATATTCCAGGTGTATATAATCATGTATCTCTCCCGCCTGCGTTCCAGGGAGTACAGGTTCAGGAACTTCAAGCGCTCCCAGTAATTGAGGTGTTTTATCTCCGTTATGCGCGCCGTGAAGGTTCTCTGTACATTTTCTAGGTCGGCAATTTCACCTGCCTTGAAAGGTGCTGTTAGTGTGCAGCAATATTCCAGCCTAGATAGAACAAGTGACCTGAAGAGTGTCATCATGGGCTTGGCATCCCTCGTTTTGAAGTTTCTCATTATCCATCCTGTCATTTTTCACTAAGCAGTAGTCACAAACCTTAGCCAAATTACATAATATAAAATTTAATCTGGAATAATTCAATAAAGTCAAAAAATGAGAACATAAAATTTAATCTAGAATAAGTCAATAAAGACAAACAATGGGACTTGCTGCAACTGGGAGTCATAGTACTTAAGAAACGGGAGATAATAAGGTTTGATCCAAATTAAAGGTAATTCCAATGCCTCGGATAAAGAGCTTACACCCAGCATGGAGGCACACCTTACCCTGAAGGGCCCAGCAGGAACTAACACGAGCGTCACTTACCTGCGGGGAGTCTTCCAAGGCACTCTCCAGGGGCAGCTTGTCAAATGCCGGCGCAGCCATTGACAGGGATTCCTCAATGTTTCTCTCCCTTCTGTCGTCTCAGCAGCAGCAGCCGCAGAAGACAACTGCAGGAAAATCTTATGGTAGACTGCAGGACAAGGGAAGACAAGATGAGACGTATGATGCTGAGGTCTTCTTGTTGACAACCCTATCAGCTGACAGCTGCACCTCCTTCACATCTGCCAAGCTGCTCTTACTTCTCCCAGTATATACTATGGTTTTATGCTTTTTTTTTTCTTGCTTATTGTAAGTTTAATGTCAAAAAATTACAATGATATTTGAGGACATACGGGTGTTATAAGTTCACTTATATAGCATATGAAGTTTAACTTAGGGTAAATCAATAAAGTTGTTCTAGTTAACCATGAGAAATAAATGGATTTGGTAATCTCGGGTTATTATATTCATGGGGAAGCGCTAAACCTATGGGGGAGATAAAGATTATCACACTATAGACTATACACAATTATAGATTTACTTTAGTAATCTAAGTGATGAGTGAAAGCAGCCATAACATATTCTTCAGTACACTCTGAAGAATATGTCTGGGTTACTAACACAGGACAATTCAAGAATGCAAGCAGTTTGGTTTATTTTTTATAGATTTTTTGTATGTTTCCCCTAGAATGCGACCCACAACAGTCTTCTGACTTCTAGCTAACTATTTACTGCTGGTCAAGGTTATCAAAAGGAAAACCTTTACTTCTCCCAGTATGAACGGCCACAGGCGCTCCATTTTTTTTCCTAGATTCGGGAAGGAAAATCCACAAATAATGTAAAAAATACTTTTAACCACAATTTATAGAGTCGTTCTCAGAGGCTTCAACACATGCTAAATAACTCATTCTTCTTTTCCCTTCCTTGGCGATGATATTATTACAGTTGATCCCTAAGCTTAACTTTCCGGAAACATATGGTTGCCATCTCCCAAAAATTATTTATAATCGCCTGACTCCCCGAGTGACTTTAAATGTAAAAATAATACAACACTATGAAGACATAACCTAGTGTTCTTCTTGCTATGGTAATGATAGGACGAAATATCAGCCAAAATACGAGATCAAGCTTAAGTTTTTTCGCGTATGTGAAGGAGGCCACGGAAACCCCTCCCAGGGCACAGCTGTGAATTTCCCTATTACCAGCAACAGCCTGATTGATCATGAACCCAACAGCGACTAGCAAACGGAGGAGCGAGGGTCCAAAGTTCCTTGATCTAAATAATCCACATTGGTTTCGTGCTTCTCATATACTAAATAAAAATAAAATATAACTCCTCCATTATGGAGGCGCATATGATGCCTGCTGGTGAAGGGCTCCTGATCCAAGGAATTGGAGCTTCCCTTCCTTGGATCAAGTCCGATTACCTCCCATTCCTCAGGCCCTATATGACTGTTACGGGTTTAGCGCCTCTCAATGTATATAGTATTAATAATCTTAAAAGTCCTGTAACCTGGTAGGCAACGCTATCGCTTCATACACTGAGTGTCAGTGATTCGATCCCCGGTACGGGAGGAAACATTAAGACTTGTTTCCTTAAGAAACCTGCTGTCTATGTTCACCTATCAGTAAAATAAGTACCTGGATGTTAGTCGACTGGTGTGGGTCACATCATGGGGACAAAACTGACCTAATTTGCCCGAAATGCTCTGCATAACAAAGAGCTTTCTATATAGTAGTGTGTACTGATGTCAGCTGAGTCTGTATACCTTGTGCGTGTATTTGAAGAAATAAAGATTATTATTATTATTATTATTATTATTATTATTATTATTATTATTATTATTATTATTATTATTATTATTATTATTTTATGAAATTTTTCTAGGAGTGATTACTTGTACGTACCTCAACATTACATGCATACGAGTAATCTCCTTGGGAGACAACTACGATATTGTTTACCGTAGTCACCCCGTGTAGACATTGAGAAAACTTAAACCACCCCTGGTTTACGGCAAGTGGTTCCTTCGAACCCCACAAACTTATCCATATCTATCCGAGACCAGTAAAGGATTGGATAGCATCCACAAGTACGGTGCTACTAATTAATTGTGGACTGTATAGATTAATTAGTTTAACTGAATGAAGGGGGGTGGGGTGTTACACATGGATATAAACCATCAAGGAAAAAAACTTGTACATAATCTCACCACTTACCAAAATTCTCTGGTGGGCACTTGATGTAGTTGGATCACACATAACCTATCCAATACAACATACCTAACTGGGCCCGTATCAGTCTGCTATAACTAGAAGGGTTACTTATGTGGTGATTGGGTACTCCTTATTCCCTCCATTCACCATCTCATTTCGATGGGCCTGCTACAAACCGACACGGTTCTTATTCCAGCAGGACGAGGTATCCGTTGGTTGTCCCGGTTTAGAAGTCGTGATTCCATAAAGCTTCACTATCCTCGGTACGAGAATCACGCGTTCACTCGGAGCAGGGCGATCTATTTCACATCCTGCATTCTCTTAACTCAATGTTATTATCACTGATTACATTACCATTCACAAGACGATTTAACGTCTCATAATTATTATACACATTAGAGTTCACTCCATTAAGATCTGAGGCCGATGAGTGAGGATTAACACACGGGTATTTCCCCTGGACACACACCATGGCCGCGCACCAGTCACACCCGGTCGAACCATTATTCACTAATTTTACCACCTTTTTACGGTGGTCCCGTAAATCACATTCCCTCACTCTTCACCAGGAACAGTTACGACACTTCCTATTATGAAGTGAGGCCCATATTAATCCTTAGGCCGCCGTGAACGCCACTTTCCTGGTTCCATGCTTTCCCAGCCTCCTCACTACATTCAAAACACTGGGAACGCTTGGAAGCACTTGACTTATACTCGTTGGAACGCAGGAGAGAGAGATATATCATAATCTACACTTGGAAAATCCTGGAAGGAATGGTCCCGAATCTGCACACAGAAATCACTCCCTACGAAAGTAAAAGACTGGGCAGACGATGCAAAATACCCCCAATTAAAAGTAGGGGCGCCATTGGTACACTAAGAGAAAACACCATAAGTGTCTGGGGCCCAAGACTGTTCAACAGCCTCCCATCAAGCATTAGGGGAATTACCAATAGACCCGTGGCTGCCTTCAAGAGAGAGCTGGACAGATACCTAAAGTCAGTGCCGGATCAGCCGGGCTGTGGCTCGTACGTTGAACTGCATGCGGCCAGCAGTAATAGCCTGGTTGATCAGGCCCTGATCCACCGGGAGGCCTGGTCATGGACCGGGCCGTCGGGGCGTTGATCCCCGGAATAATCTCCAGGTAATCCAGGGATAACAGGGAAGGCACTACAATAGATCAGGGAATACTTGTCAGGAAGACAGCAGCGAGTCATGGTACGTGGCGAGGTGTCAGAGTGGGCACCTGTGACCAGCGGGGTCCCGCAGGGGTCAGTCCTAGGACCAGTGCTGTTTCTGATATTTGTGAACGACATGACGGAAGGAATAGACTCCGAAGTGTCCCTGTTTGCAGATGACGTGAAGCTGATGAGAAGAATTCATTCGATCGAAGGCCAGGCAGAACTACAAAGGGATCTGGACAGGCTACAGACCTGGTCCAGCAATTGGCTCCTGGAGTTCAACCCCACCAAGTGCAAAGTCATGAAGATTGGGGATGGGCAAAGAAGACCGCAGACGGAGTACAGTCTAGGGGGTCAGAGACTACAATCCTCGCTCAAGGAAAAAGATCTCCTGTTCAGAGCACATCAACCAAATAACTGCTGCAGCATATGGGCGCCTAGCAAACCTCAGAACAGCATTCCGATATCTTAATAAGGAATCGTTCAGGACCCTGTACACGGTGTACGATAGGCCCATATTGGAGTATGCGGCACCAGTTTGGAACCCACACCTACCCAAGCATGTAAAGAAACTAGAGAAAGTGCAAAGGTTTGCAACAAGACTAGTCCCAGAGCTAAGAGGTATGTCTTGCAAGGAGAGGTTAAGGGAAATCAACCTGACGACACTGGAGGACAGGAGAGATAGGGGGGACATGATAACGATATACAAAATACCGAGAGGAATTGATAAGGTGGACAAAGACAGGATATTCCAGAGATTGGACACAGCAACAAGGGAACACAGTTGGAAATTGAAGACACAGATGAATCACAGGGATGTTAGGAAGTATTTCTTCAACCACAGAGTATTCAGGAAGTGGAATAGTTTGAGAAGCGATGTAGTGGAGGCAGGATCCATACATAGCTTTAAGCAGAGGTATGATAAAGCTCACGGTTCAGGGAGAGTGACCTAGTAGCGACCAGTGAAGAGGCGGGACAAGGAGCTTGGACTCGACCCCTGCAACCTCAACTAGGTGAGTACAACTAGGCGAGTACAATGGGCTTAGTGAAGCCTACACAGTGGCCTTAGTGAAGCCTACACAGTGGGTTTAGTGAATCCTACACAGTGGGCATGGTGAAGCCTACACAGTGGGTTTAGTGAATCCTACACAGTGGGCTTAGTGAAGCCTACACAGTGGGCTTCGTGAAGCCTACACAGTGGGCTTAGTGAAGCCTACACAGTGGGCTTAGTGAAGCCTACACAGTGGGCTTAGTAAAGCCTACACAGTGGGCTTAGTGAAGCCTACACAGTGGCTTAGTGAAGCTTACACAGTGACCTTAGTGAAGCCTACACAGTGGCTTAGTGAAGCCTACACAGTGGGCTTAGTGAGGCCTACACAGTGGCTTAGTGAAGCCTAAGCAGTGAGCTTAGTGAAGCCTACACAGTGGCTTAGTGAAGCCTACACAGTGGGCTTAATAAAGCCTACACAGTGGGCTTAGTGAAGCCTACACAGTGGGCTTAGTGAAGCCTACACAGTAAGCATAGTGAAGCCTACACAGTGGGCTTAGTGAAGCCTACACAGTGGGCTAGTGTAGCCTACACAGTGGGTTTTTGTGAAGCCTACACAGTGGGGTTAGTGAAGCCTACACAGTGGGCTTAGTGAATCCTACACAGTGGGCTTAGTGAAGCCTACACAGTGGGCTTAGTGAAGCCTACACAGTGGGCTTAGTGAATCCTACACAGTGGGCTTAGTGAAGCCTACACAGTGGGCTTGGTGAAGCCTACACAGTGGGCTTAGTGAAGCCTACACAGTGGGCTTAGTGAAGCCTACACAGTGGGCTTAGTAAAGCCTACACAGTGGGTTTAGTGAAGCCTACACAGTGGCTTAGTGAAGCCTACACAGTGGCTTTAGTGAAGCCTACACAGTGGGTTTAGTGAGGCCTACACAATGGCTTAGT